ATAATAATAATTGGCGCTGTGTCCCCCGTTTGGTGTATCTTCCCAATTCCGCGTTGTGCTGCCTGCGGCAGCGGACCTGCCGATAGAGGAAACCTGTCGATGATCCTATGAGAAGTCTGCAAGGAGGACGTTCTGATTCTCTTTTATGGCCATCTCTAAGAGAGAGCGCGGATTAGATGGATGCTGCCGTCCCCGCGCCTGGTCGCCGCAGCTTGGTCCAGAACTGTCACAGGACTTACCCATTCCCATCCTCAGATATATTGCGAGGGAGGTCGGTGAGAGGAGGGGGAGAGAAAGGAGGAGGATATCCTCCCAGGACAAAAAACTGACGCGTCTGCTCACCGGCTAACACACTCCTGCCTACCGACCCCCTCCCCCTCTCTCCCATTAGGCTGCCAGCTCGACCAGTGCCTAATACACTGTATAAAACAAGGCGACACCTGCATGCAAAGTTCGCCAAGCGCATTTTTCCAAATGGGTTTGACAGATACGTACGAGCGCATTGGAAAAGCATCCTTCCAGATAGAGTGGGAAAATACCTTAACAAAAGATTTGTTTAACAAGGTCGCAAAGTCGCTGCTCAAATAGGAGAAAGGGGGCTGGCCCCCAAGATTTGCTTTGCCCAGCGAGAAAGTGTGTATCTTTTATGGCTCGCGGTGTGGGGAGCGTCAACAGAAGGGGAGCTGCCACGCCGAGCCTCGCCGCGCTCTGCGGTCAGTTTACCCTGCCTTCCGGACCTCGGCCCCGCCAGGCCCTGCCAGGCAAGGCGCGCCGAAACACTCCAAAGAAGGAGAAGGGGCTGGGCCATAAAGACGTGACGAATCTCCCCCCGGCCGGCAGCGGCCGCGGAGTGGCTGGCTGAGGGCGATACAAAGTATGTGGCGTTGTATCGCGGCGCGGCCGAGATTGCCGAAGCGTAGCGCTGCGGCGGTTGCAGGCGTTGTGTGTGCCCGCAATCGACTAGTGTTTAACAATAAAACAACGAAAAAATATCATGGCTAGATGGCTCTTTGCAAACCCTTCACAGTGTACGTTTAACATAGTAATCACAAAGAAGTGTTTGCTTTTACCGTATGAGAGGTGCACACATAAAGGTGTTGTAATATGGCAAGTACACACTTATATCACTGTGAAAAAAATATTCTTAAATTTACGATAATTCGTATAGTTATTGATAACGATATTGATGTAAGAATAAAACATTTTCCATAATTTGACGAAAAATTGTGTGATTATGTTACGAACCATTTAAATAGTAACCATTTACGAAAATTGTCAGTAAATTGTGACACACTCACAATAGAACGAGCCTACATGTGATGGAGTTCTGTTCAAAAATGACATAAATTGATAGAATTTTACGTACTTATTGACTTGATTTTCATTTGCTGACTGCCGATCAGAACCCTATCACATGAAGGGTCGTTTGACGCGGAATTTTGCGAGGAATGCGACAATGTATTCCGAAAAGTGACCGGTTTGCTCATTCAGAAAATATTTGGGAAGATCTGAAAATACACACTTTAGCACCCCAAAAACGTGTTCAGCACTCCTGGAAAGATTCGATATCGCATACCTATGTTTTTCCAGTGCTATACCAGCACACAAACATCGTGTTCATAATATGAAGAAGTCGTTCGTAAGATTTTAAGAGTGTCGAAAATCCAATCAGAACCAAAAGCTCTTAGACAATTAAAAACAAAAACAACTCAAAGGTGTCTTGGGAAAACGAAGATAAAATGTTACCCCCAACCCAACTCAGAAAAGATTGCCTTTTTCCACGGGGGAGAAGCGCCGTGAGTGATTTTGTGGCGTTGGCTGAGAGGCAGCTGAGCGCAGTCCGATGATGATTGCATTGAGCGTGGGGGCGGGCAGCGCTAGGCCAGCGCCCAGCGCGTACCACCTCAGGGGGCCTGGGCCGCGCGTCCGGCCGTCGCAGATCACATGACAGCGTCACGTCAACCCCCCACCCCGACACGCTCGTCCCATCCCGAGCGAATCAACCGCAGATCAAACAGAGCGAAGGCGTCGCCGCCGGGAGAGGAGATATCCGAGAAACACTCTCACACCGCTGCTGCTTTCTCATCATTTTTAAAATGCCTTTGAGAAAATCTATTCACCTTTCTTGTTTTACTGACATTCCCAACAACATTTGTTCAAAGAGGAAAAAAAATACTAAATAACAACAAGTAAAGAGAAATATGATGGCGGACACAAGACCTCTGGCAATTAGGCGGGACGTCCCAGAAGGCGGGGCAACTCAGTTGGGGCGGGGCGGGGCGGGGCGGGGCGGGTGGGTTCGGGCCGCAGTGATTGGGCAGGAGAACACCCAACTAAACTTGGGCGGCCTCACGTACGTTCGACGTGCGGCCCACTGCTACTCCGTCCGCTCTTCGTCCACGGGACGTTCGTCCAGTCCACAAGATACACATTTTTTTTCTTCCTCACAAACCTCCGGAGAACCGGAAGGGAAGGGAGGGGAGGGGGGGAGGGGGACGACGTACCGACATGGCAGCAGGCCGGTCGGGGCCCCAGGGAGGAGGGGTGAGAGCGAGCGAGAGAGAGAGAGAATCATGGACCGCGGCTAAATAAATTGATTTATGTATGAGGGGCCGCGGGGCGTGTGGTCGCGGGGCGTGGCAGGGCGTGGTAGGGCGTGGCGGGGCCTGGCGCGCCGTCGAACAATACAGAGAGGGTGGTAATTAATGGAGAAAGAGAGGTTTAAAGCCCCCCGAGCAAGGTGAGATAATGAGGGTGGCGTCGCGCGGCTTTCACGCGGCTGGCCGTGTGCGCGTGTGTGCGTTTGTGTTTGAGAAGGGCCACTGTGAAAAATTGTCGTACCGGGTACAGGAAAATTTTCCATGGAAGAAGTCGTACAAGTACAATCTAAAATTGTACAATTTACTAGCCCTATGTATCGACTTGGAATCGAATATCGAGCGACAACGGGAGGTTGTACATGTACGACTCGTATTGTAAATGGCAAATTACAAAATATATCGTACATGTACAAATATATTTCTCACAGTGGCGATTTTATGCATAAACAATTACGGAGGGGCTGTACGGGAAAAAGAGTCCCGCCCAGGAACGGATCGCGAAAGCAGATGATACAAGTTCAGGTATTCTTGTCTAGTCTATAATCTCGTGAGCAAAATTAAAGCGCCACTTTTTTGACAGGGCGTAATTTCGAAGTGTGATTAGGTAGGAGGTTGCCGTTTGGCAGGAAGATAGGCTCATATGTTGGCATTAGACCCCTTAAAGCGCAAACCTTGATCTCGAACGGTTCGCGAGCTGTGGGGCCTAACTCATCGCGACACCCCACTTCGCAGTGTGGTTAGGAAACAGAGGTTGCTTTGTGACGCTCCCCTGACCGATAGGGGGGTCGGATCCGGCTGAAAATTTAGGGGAGTACTCTCCTAGGTACAGCCGACATAATGCCGTGTCAAAAAACCGCCCTTGCGAACTTCCAACCCTTTCTAACCACCCCTTAATTGACGAATCATGATTTGATCATTTAAAGACGGCCCCTCGGGTAAAATTGAGTGCCGGCGGGCGCCGTGTGACGTGGGCTCAATGTTTTAATGTCCCCTACCG